GAAACGAACGATGCAGGCTCGCACATTCCTCTCTTTTTCCAGCTGCAGTGAGGCAGTGAGTGCACGACCGTACTCCTAAAGGAGATGGGTCGAGAAAGTGTATATAAAAATACACTCCAGGAACGGGGGTCACAGACACCCCTAGCCCCTTCACAGAGCAAGAAAATCCCAACAAAGACCCAATTCCCTTCACTCCGCAGGAGAGATCCGGGAGGGTGGGTAGGGAGAAAATTATAGAGACAGCTGAAAGATCTGAAGTGGAGCCTGAAGCTGCGGCCAGCAAGTAAGTTTCAGCTCGCAAATGGGCCCTTCCCAACCAACCTACAATTTGCGAAGACAGAAACGAACGATGCAGGCTCGCACATTCCTCTCTTTTTCCAGCTGCAGTGAGGCAGTGAGTGCACGACCGTACTCCTAAAGGAGATGGGTCGAGAAAGTGTATATAAAAATACACTCCAGGAACGGGGGTCACAGACACCCCTAGCCCAATGTTTCAACACGAGCTCTGCCCACTGTTTCACAAACTCTCGAGCTGTTTCTGCAAGTTAGTGCGTAAAGCAGCTTCAGGAAAGGCATGCTCGGCAAGCTGCCAACCCTGGTTCTGGGACCAGGTACAGCCCAAGCCCAAACGGCTAAGACCGTCGGACGGGTTCGATTCGGAATCAATCCACTCGAAGTAGGCCTGAAAAGAGCACTGAGACCTCAAGTATGCTGCAATGTGGGCGATTTCGTGAACATCGCCTTCCGGGCTCGCGCCGCTCACGGCGGCAGTGACAGCACCCTGGTTGTCAACAAACCACAAAGCGTCACGACCCCGAAAAAGATCCCCGTACAACAGCGGCAAAAGCAAGACTGCAAGTGTTTCACCCACGAAGATCTGCTGTTTACGCGGCTTCCACGAGTCAACGACATGCTGCGGGACCAAGCATGTGCCGCCCAGGGGCGTAGCAGCCGCGTCAAAAATGACCCAGCCTAAGCGAAGCTCACCCGCCTCAAAAGAAGCATCAGTGTAAATCAGCATGAAGGGAGGCGCCTCCCAAGTCATGGAGATTTCACGGGGCCTTGCGTAACGCACAAGACGCAGGAGGCACTGCAACACAAGCACATCAGCCTCTGATAGCTTGCTGGTCTCACCATGTTGGAACTTGCGAAGCACAGGGCCGGCGTAGCGGCCCGAAAAACCACTGCACGCGGAGAAGAACCATTGAAGGTCACCCCGAAGCTTACCGGCTGTGTCTCTCAGGAGCGTGCCTGTATGCAAAACATGGTGAAGTGTACGCAATACTTTGCAAAGCGTAGAAAACTTAGGCTGAACCCTGAAGACCCCCGCCGAGGAGACTAAACCCAAATGGACGGACACTCCAAGGTAGTGTCGGTCCGGTGTGGGGTGGAAGCTCTTAGGGGGCTGCGGCGGGGCGCCTAGGCAAGAAAACGCTGACAGCACACCTTGGCGGGATACATCCGCCTCACGCATGCACTCCAGTGCGAGTTCATCGTCGAAGTAGAAAGAACACAAGGATGAGCAGCACCTGCGCGCAATTGCTGTGCCTAGGGCCGGGAATCTGTTAAAGGAAACGACGGCAGACTCTAAGCCGTAGGCGAGACCCCACATGATAGAGAAGCGCCAGCCCAAGTCAGGCACATATATGGCCACGACTGAGAACCTCAGGTGATCCTCACGCACGGGCAAGCCCCGATAGGCTTCTGGGAGGTCCTCCGTGCCGACCCTGAAGTGCAACCATTCGGGGCATTCGCCCCGTGCAAGAGCGCGCACAGCATCACGAGCAACACAAGCCACAAAGTCCACACTAGTTGTGAAAATTGTCTCAGAAAGCACTGTGTTCTCATTATGATGTGTAGAACGGGCATTGTCGATCACCCTGGACTTCTCCTGCTGTTGAAGCACAAAGCGCTCCAAAGGCCGCCACTGGCCATAGCCGAAGCGTGCATCGACCTGAGCCCTTGTCATCAGCGGAGAGCAGAAACCCTTCTCAATTTCAGAAGACGTGACTTCAAAGATCTCTTTGTGCATGCGAGGCGGGCCTGACTGCAAGATAGCATCAACCGACGCTGCGCCCTCTTCTGCAAGCCAGGAGGCTGTGTCAACAGAAGCTTGAGACAAAGGAACCTTTCTGAAGACCCCCGACGGCGGAATCTCGCCCACGATGCTAAAACCCCGAACTAAATCGGCTGCGATGGTGCGATCCGGCCAACGAAGCAAGGACACCATGCAAGCTGCAAAGGCGGGGCTCTTCTGGTGGGCAACGCGCTGCGAGCTGGAGCACCTGAAAGGCCAGAGCGCCGCATCCAGGGGACGTAAAGCCCGATGGATGGCGCGAAGAGCATCACGCTGCCGCTGTGCCAGGAGCGGCAGGTTCTCGCGCCAAACAGCCAAAGTGTGTAACACAAAATGGATGTCAAGCTCTGGCCACGGTTTCGGCTGGAAGGGTGAGGGAAGGGCTTTGGCAGCCAAAATGTGGCGCTCTTTGCCCAACCCTGGCTGCAATAGAAAATCAAGGCCCTTAGCACTCTCAGAACTATAACGTTGCCCCGAATTGCTAGTATATGCAGCGGCGCGCAAACGACGGTTGATGACCGTGGGGCCCAGCAATTGCCAGTCTGCGCCTGTGCCTCGCGCATAAGCCACGGATGCCTGAGGCAGCAGCAGATCACATGAAGTAAGACGATGCAAGACATCATGCCATACAGCGTTTGACAAGGAGAAATCCCGAAACTGCGATTGCATGTCAAGGACAAGAGCCTCGGGATCAAGCAAACCCGGGAAAGCCCTAAGGCGGTTGGGCTCCCACAATGTGCCCGCAATGCGCTCCTGCAGCGGATCCTGTAGGCTCAATGGTAGTGGCATCTTAGATTCGCAAAGGCCTGGCAGCATAGCGAAGATCGCCATCACTGTAAAGACATGAAAACCCTGTCCCAACAGACTGTTGGCCCGCTGATGACGTGTGGGAGCATCTGGGCCGCGTGGGTGCATGAGCGATTCTGGGACCCCAAGGATTTGGGCCCTCTCTGATGGCGAGGGCTGGCGCCATTGCGTTTCATTCCACAACAAGCTTCCCTCGCTGTAAGACTGAACCGGAAAGCGCCGGGAATCCTGAAAGAACCTGTCCAAAACTGCAGGTGGCACAGCTGCGTCTTTGGCAAAGGGTTGCCTACACTCCACTGTGAACTCGGAGAAGGGCGAGACCTGGGCTTGCATCACGAGGGAAGGCTCAAAGATGGGACAAAAGCCGCCTTCCCAACCAACCGACCTAGGCAAAGGCTTCTTGCCCACATACCTGAGTTCATGCCGGGCCGACTCATCAACGGACTGCCAAGACCAGTCAAACGGAGGTTTGCCATGATCCGGGCCTAAGCTGCGGGTAGCAGACGACAGCCAGTAAAGACGTCTACGAGAAGACCAGCCGCAAAAGCGTGCATCCGAAAACACAGGACTGGCTTGCAGCAAAGTCGAGAACCTGTCACGGACAGGCGGCTGTAAGTCTGCCGCGCCCTCCAAAAACACAAACACTTCAACACCCACCAAGTCGGGATGATGTCTCAGCTCATCTGCCAGACGTGCTAACAATGCTGGGTGTTTGTCAGTGGAGCCGGACTCACCGCAATGCAGAGCATGTGAAGAAGTTTCCGTAAGGCCTGGGGCGCCGCCACCAAGGATGATGCCTCGCAGTTGCCTTCTATGAACAAAGGGCAAGAGAGTCTCTACCTGGATGTCCTCGGCCCTGGCGGTGTGGACCAAGCTGGGCATCACCTGTTTTGCACACTCAACGGCTGTAGAATCTACCTCAGCAGCAAGACCGTAGAAGTGAAGGCCAAGCGCTAGCAAGGCAACGCACAGACCACTTATCCCGGCCCACATGTCGAGCACGAGCCACGTGCCCCGAGGAGCTGAAATGTTGGGCAGCTGAGGAAGATCGCCGCCCCCGCGCCAAGTGACAGGGCGCGCCGCTCTGAGGCGGCTTGCAAGCTCGGTCGAGACCTCGGATGGGCGCTGGTTGCAGATTGGAGGCCCGGCTCGCGCCTCGTACGGTCTGTTTGCCTGGGCCAATCCACCTGCACTACTCGAGGCTGGACATCCAAAGACACCTGGCGAACCGCAGAAGCTTGAGAGTGCGATTCGCTGCGAAAGCCCGAAGCCCTAACAACCGAAACTCCCGCGGGATCCCCCAAGTAACCCTTGCTTGACTCTGAATCAGGATCGGAAGGAGCCTGATGTGAAGTGACCAAGCGAGAAGAGCGAGACTTCGGGGGCTGCACCTGGGGAAGTGGGAAACCAAGCTGCACAAGGTGGGAGCTTGTCTCCGACGGGCAATGCATCAGCAAAGGAGCAGTGAATGCTGTTAAAGCCCAGCGCTCTCCCTCGAAAGGCATGGTTGCGTGGCGCAAGCGAAAATCAAAGACGAGTGGGCGCATGTGGGTATCCACACTGCGGCCTAACAACCTCTCGCCACTTGCAGTTGTCTGGGCAACCTTACCCGAACCATCCTCAAGCCACAAGCAACCGCCTGAGAAGGTCCCGACAGTGACATGGCAATTGAAGGTGCCGGGCTCATTTCCCGAGTCGGTGTGGACCTGAGATATCATGTTATGACTGATTGCCACAGTAGTCCATGTCTCAGCAGGGAAAAGTGACGACAGCCACCGGTTCAAGAAATGAACTGCAGCAGGGCTCCTCATGCTACAATCAGTGATACGAGGCTGACCGCGGAAAGACACAAAACCAACCACAAAGTAGTGTGCATCCTTGCGATGGCCCAAAACATCCCGGCGAAAGCACCTCACTGGCTCGCAAAAGGCAGCCTGTAGCACCTGTAGCACAGCGTTCTCAGAAAAGTCCTGACGAGCACTGAAAAGCTGCACAAGAGAAGCGGCATCTGATGGCTGCGGACCTGACGGATTCGCGTCTGCAATCGGAACAGGATCTGACTCAAGATCAGCAGCCCCAGCAAAGGTTGCAGGGAGCCCCTCTGGGGGCGCAGAGGGGCCAACCCCATTTCATGGGCTGGGGTGATTCTGTCGATTGTGCGAAGTGCTCCCGCAAGGGAGTCCGGAACTGAGCCTAACATCACAACCGTGAATGTCGGGGCAGCTAGCACGCTGACAGCCTCTGCTGTCGTTCCATGGCTTACAGAACTTGCGACCGCCCTTTGCCATGCTCACGGTATTCAGTCGGCGCTGCTTATTGTCCGGAGAAGATGCTTCCTCGATGACCTTGCGGCGGTTGCCGGATTCCAAAGAAGGAGGCGGGGATGCGAAGGCCGATGAGGACGGTGTCCTCCATTCAAGCCTGCACTCCAGAAGAACTTCTTCCAAAGCAGAGCCAACATTCTGACCCCGACGAACCCGACTAGCAAGCTTACCCCTGGTCAAGACATCGTTCCGTTGGATCCACGAGAGCTGGCCATTCCCGAACTCCATGCACCAGCGGAGCGCCAGGTCGGCGTAGTTCAGGGCCGATGTGAGGTCAATCATCTTTTTATCCTTGCCGTCGATGTCCTTGGAGATGTAGTTGCCCGCCCACGCCCAAGCGTAGGCCAAGATGCGCAAGCTCCAAAAGTAATCAACAGCATTGCGCAAAGTAACCACCGAGTCCTTATGGAAGTTCAATGTGAGGCCCCCCTGAAGACTCACAGACTCCTCCCGTTGAGGGGTGGCCTGAGCCACCACGGACTTGATCTTGCGAGCCTCAATGACCGTCATGGTGTGTCGCCTGAACTCGCGGTAGACACGCCCGCGCAGGGCGTCAGAAGGCTCCAGGTGCGTCTCCACCACGAAGCCATAGGCCTTCTGGAAGTCATGCTGAAGCTGCTGGGTGGTAGCCTCCGGCAGCGGCTCCTCAAGATCAGTCTCCTGCTGGTGACGTGTTGCAGCCTGCTGACTAGCAGCGATTGCCGCAGAGCCCGCCTGCCAGGCCGCCTTGAAGCGTGCAAGAGCTAAGCGATTATCACGAATGACACCGACCTCCTGAACGAAGGCAGCCAATGAAGACTCCCATTCACCCTTATTGATCATGTAGACGAAATCATCCAAAGTCTCAAGACGATGATGTGACACCACCGCCTGGATCCAGTCCTGTTTGACCCCACTCGCCGCAAAGCAAGAATGAAGGCCACGATCATCAGCCTGAAGATCCACTCGAAGCGTCTGCGACATTATGCAAGAGGGCTGCAAAACCTGACACAGAGGCTGGAAGCAATCTCGAGCAGCTAGCCTGAAGAAAAGCAGGGGGGGAGTCGAGCAACAGCTGGAAGCAGCGAACGACTGTCGATCGTGCGTCGCTGCAAAGCAACAAACGGCACAGGTGAACAGCATGTATGCTGTGACTGTGCCCCAAGCCCCGAAATTTTCTCAGCCGCCAGCGCCCTGATGCTGCAGACGCGGTATTCGAAGCACTGTCCTATCTAGGCCCCCCAACCCGAACGGTGACACGGCTTGCAGAAATGCCTAGCATGATCAGCAGGGCGCGCGGGATTGATACGGCGACCACAAAGAGCGGTGCAAAGAGGATTTTGGCATTGAGCTTGGCACCGTTGCACTTGGTATGGCTGCACCGGCGGGGGCACACCCGCGCTAGCATGAGAATGGGAGCCCGTAGTATTCTGGACTCGCTGGCGAACTGCTCTCTCCGCATTCAAGGCCGCCAGGATGCGCTGCAAGTAATTGTCGTTGAGGCCAGCCGCCCAAGCCGCCAGCTCCTGATCATTGAAGGTCGCCTGCTGCTGCATGTTAGATCGGCTGGGAGGGTAGAGCGGAGCACACAAACTAAAGCTGGAGCCTGCGCGAACACAGCACTAAGGCTGGCTGACAAAGCGATGCATAGGCAGGTCCGGGCGACCTGAGCACGCTCCGAGACGCTGTCCGAGGAGGTGTACCCTCTCGTGCTGCAAGGAGACACAGAGGCGGGTAACCCAAACTACGGGACTACACTATTTAGGGGGGTAAAGGCTGTTGCGAAGGGCAGTCGCAAACGGATCCTGCACAGTCCAGAGCAAGCTTGCTGGTCCACATGTGACAGACGCGAAGCATGTGCGGAGCCGTGACAGGACCCTGAGACTCATGAACTTGGCCATTTCGGGTGCATTGCACTTAGCGAAGCTGCACTATTCAAAGCCCTACGATGGGGCAAAAGATGCTCGGATGCTGCGTGGCACGGCCCTTAAACACCGAGCACACAGCGAGGCAGACTGTGGCGGGAGCCCGAAACCCGACGACAGCGGATCCTGAGCAAAAGGGGTCGTCCTGCAAAAAGGTATCATACGACCCTGTTCATCAAGCTGGTTTACAAAATGTAACTTCCGCTTCTGCTGAAGCCACTGCCAATCACTGGTGTCCTCATCAGGAATCTCCGCCTCCGAGTCAGAGCCTGTCGACGAGCTCGAGGACGAACAAGAACTGGAAGAAGATCCCGGTTGCGCATTCTCCTTGGGCACACAATCCTCGAGAGAAGGCTGCTGACCAGAAAGGTCCTTCCACATGACAGAAGAGGGCCCCAAGAGGCCGTTTGGCTGAACCAATGCGCCTTGACGACGGTGAAAAACTTGAAGTACACCATCAATCACCTGACGCTTTGCATCGCAACTAGTGGCAGTCTTGTTACCAGCATAATGGTGACTCATTAAGCGCTGACGCTTGGGGCCACTGGGGCGAACATTGTCCTGAGCCGCTTCTGTCCAAGAACCAAGTGCCTGCAAACGGGAGTTATCGAAGCTAAAGGTGGTGCCGCCGGTGGGAAGAAAACGCCTAAGGCGGTTGTATGCCACACCACGCAAAGCTTCCTGAGGCAGACCACAGCGTGCCAAGAGGCCCCTGAAGAACTCAATGAATCTAGCACCACCCAGCTTGCGAGACAGCTGCAAAGGCGTATGCTCAGTCACTTGCCAAAGGTCAACAGCTTCCAAAGCAGGGCGAGGCCAGAGATGTCCGAAGCCCTGATCTCGTTGCCGCACAACCACCGGGCGCACCTCATCCAAAAGATTGAACTTGCCCAGCTCAACCTGAGGGAGGGCCCAGTTGTAGGGCACTCTAACACCTTGGTGCCGACTTTTGCCCATGCTGCAGCGGAACTCCAGCCAGGTACCATGGTCGCAGACTAGAGTAGAGCGCTGCATGTGCCTGAAACGGATACAGGATGCCGCCGACATAACGCAAAAAGAAGACATCGTTCTCTGGCAGCCCGTGAGCTCTGCTGCGCACAAGAGCATGTTAAGGAATTCCCATGGTTGAAGTTCAGACGCCTGCTGTTGAGCATGACCTGGTGCGTGCAGGCGGAAAGACTTGACCATGAAGTGCTCGATGGGATAATCTGCATTCACATGAACCTTCAGCCAGCGAAACATCTGCCAAAGGGAGCTTGATGCTGTAGGTCCTCCGAGGCTAACGAACCGGAGGAAAGCTGCAAGCTGTCTGGGGCCCGGGTGGCCCGTGGAAATTGAATGCTCAGCTGCGAACTTAAGCCACCGCTTGAAGCCCCCCAGCAAAGCGCCCAAGTGGCCCTCCGAGCAATGGAGAGCAGACGGCAGCACCACGCGTGCAGCCTCCCAAACAGAAGCAGCATCCTCAAGATTCAGCCCAGGAAAACCAATCTCGTCGTGGTCCAAGACATGCTTATACAAAAGGCAGAAAAGGGCCATGCACTTGGACTTGACAATGTCGGCTACCCGAGGCGCCGCAGATGCAGCCGCAGCGACAGGGGTTCGCACCGAAGCCGCACCCTGCCGCCACGGAACTGATAGGAGAGGCGGCTTCTTCGTGGTAAAACTGTTTGGCTGGCTCGGAAGCTGTTGTGATCTCACCGATGGGAAAATGCTTCGTCGCTCCAGCACGAGTTCTGCCGAAGATGCATCTACCAGCGATGCACTCAAACGGACAGCCCGGCGCCAAAGCTGCAGCAGGGCTTCTACGCTCTCCTGATCGTGTTGTGCGTCTGATACAATCTCTGCAAACAGAGTCTCCTCGCAATCCCAGAGATATCTCACATCTGTCCAGGAGGCAGCCCCCAATCGAGCCAACCAAGAAGCCGCAAAAGGCGGAAGAGAAGCCAAGTGTGCCTCAAATGTTCCGGCACCTCGCACCGCCGAAGGCTCCATACAGATAAAGGAGGCAGCTGCTCATAGCTCAGTAGGGAGAAAATTATAGAGACAGCTGAAAGATCTGAAGTGGAGCCTGAAGCTGCGGCCAGCAAGTAAGTTTCAGCTCGCAAATGGGCCCTTCCCAACCAACCTACAATTTGCGAAGACA